AAAGGTTCAAAAGAACTCTCAAAGTATGATATACTTAATCAATAAATGTTGTGTCTTATGAATAAGAAGAACTCCTTATTTATAGGAGTTAAAATCACTTAAAATAATGTAGGGGGTTGTTAAAAAGTCATCTAAATTAGGTAGGGGGCTGCTAGGGGTCACAATAGCCATCAAACTTAGGTAGGTGGCTCCTAAGGGGTAATAAAAGCCATCAAAATTAAGTGGGGGGCGGCCAAATCCTTTTGGGCCAGATTTGGGCCTTAAAACTATTAGTTTGGGCCATTGGTTTGGATTCCAATTGGGATCCTTTTGAAACACCCCCTTTTGGACCCCTTTTAAGGTCATTTTGAGCCTTATTGGTGGACTTCAAGGGCTGATTTGGTAACCCAATCTTCCTCCTCTTGGACTTCAATTTGGACTACCAAATAATTGTAAAACTTGGACAATTCATCTCCTTTGGGCTTGAGCTCTTCCTCTACAATTAAAAGCTTCTTTATTTGCCATTGAAGTCTAGCAACCTTAGCTTGCAACTCTTTAGCTTGTGATATTGTAAATGGCCTTGGAGCTTCCAAAACTCTATCATCTCTATCATTGTCCTTAACTATATCCTTGTTCTTGATGCTATCAGCCTATTACTTCAAATGCCAATGAGAAGTTTTTCGGTGTGGGTCTCCGAGTTACAGAGGCTGACCGAAAATGGGCTGATGAGCATAAAGAAAAATGGTGAGTCCTGTCCCAGCCCATTCCACATCTCGATCAATCATTTGCCAAACCAAAATATGTTGAAGAAGAAGAAGAGGCCTTCACGACCGAAGAAATTGATGATATTTGTGAAGCCTTGAAATAAATACTATATGAGTCTCACATGGTCTAGCCAGGGGAAGGCACGAACAATGCCGAGGTGCAGTATATGGAGCCGGATGCCAAGCTCTAGAATTGAAAAGCTACCCCATCCCTGTCAGACGGGAGTCCCCGTAGTCCAGTCTTGCTATATCTTCTACATTACGAGTTATTTCAGAGTGTGGCTCGAATGTTTTTACTTTAATCTTTGATTTTGATGCAAACCCTTATATCTTCAACTCAATGAAATGGAATCAATATTTCATCGTCCACAGATGTCTCTTTTCTTTATTCTGATTTTGCTATTTTTCTTATCTTTTTCTTTTTAATTCTAATAATGCGGACTTAAATATCATGACATGCTTGCGGACTTCATGCCCAGAACCTAAAATGTTATCTAACTGTGAAATAATGAATCAAGAACCAGAATATGATGAAGATGAGACTTTTAGGGAAATAAATCGCGAATTAGAACAATTTGAGAATAAGCCTAAGCCAAACTTAAATGAAACCAAGCCAGTTAACTTGGGCAGTCCAGAAGATATCCGAGAAACCATGATAAGCATTCACGTTGGCGAAAGAACTAGAGACACCTTGATCCAACTTTTGTTTGAATTCGAAGACGTGTTTGTCTAGTCTTATGATGATATTCCAGGGATGAGCATCGATTTGGTGGTACATAAATTGCCAACCTATCCCGGTTATCCACCTATCCAACATAAGGTGAGAAAGTTAAAATAGGCATCAATGATAAGATCAAAGAAGAGGTCACCAAACAACTGAAAGCTGGTGTGATTCGAGTGGTCCGATACACCACGTGGTTAGCTAATGTATTTCCAGTGGTAAAGAAAGATGAAAAACCCCGAGTGTGTGTTGATTATCAGGATTTGAACAAAGCAAGCCCCAAGGATAATTTTCCATTACCAAATATCCACATTCTTGTTGACAATTGTGCCAAACATGAGATACAGTCTTTCGTGGATTGTTATGATGGGTATCACCAGGTTTTAATGGATGAAGAAGATGAAGAAAAGACGGCTTTCGCCACAACTTAGGGCACTTACTATTACAGGGTCATGCCGTTTGGTTTGAAAAACACGGGGGTAACCTACATGAGAGCTATAAGCCATCTTCTATGACACGATGCACCAGGAAATTGAGGTGTATGTAGATGATTTGATCATTAAATCTAGAACGCAAGAAGGCCATGTGCGAGAACTAAGGAAATTCTTTGAGCATCTGCGCAGGTATGACTTGAAATTGAACCCAGCTAAATGTGCATTTGGAGTTCCGTCTGGAAAACCTCTGGGGTTTATAGTCAGTCGGAGGGGTATCGAGCTAGATCTAACAAAGATAAAGTCTATTTGGGGATTTGCCGCCTCCGAAGACCAAGAAAGAGGTCATGAGTCTGCTAGGGAGATTGAATTACATCAGTACATTCATTGCTTAGTTTACTACCACTTGTGAGCCCATATTCAAATTGTTAAAGAAAGACGCGACAATCAAATAGATAGATGAGTGTCAAGAAGCTTTTGATAAACTCAAAGAATATCTGTCAAATCTTCCAGTGTTCTTGTACCTGACAGTCATGGAAAATTCTTTCGACTGTGTCATGGGGCAACACGATGTGACCGTAAAGAGAGAGCAAGCTATATACTATTTGAGTAAGAAGCTCACCAGTTAATGAAGCCAAGTACACTTTGTTGGAAAGAACTTGTTGCGCCCCAACTTGGGTCGGCCAGAAGCTCAGACATTATCTATTGCCCTACACAACATATCTCACAACCAGAATAGATCCTCTAAAGTACATATTCCAAAAATCGATGCCCACGGGAAGGTTAGCAAAATGGCAAATACTGCTCATCGAGTTCGACATTGTCTATGTCACTCGCACGGCGATGAAAGCCAAAGCCTTGGCGGATCATCTAGCATAAAACCCGGTCGATGATGAATACCAACCCCTAAGCACTTATTTTCCAGACGAGGAAGAGAAATCAATTGAAGTAATTCCAGAGAACACCAATGCTTGGAAAATTTTCTTTGATGGATCTGTAAATGCAAAAAGTGTCGGGATCAGAGCAATTCTGATTTCACCCACAAGGTAGCATTATCCGGCCATAGCCCAGATTTGGTTCTTCTATACAAAAAATACTGTTAAGTATGAAGACTGCATCATGGGCATGAATATGGCAGTTGAACTGGATGTAGAGGAATTATTAACCATGGGGGATTCTGATATAATAATTCGGCAAGCCCAAGGTGAGTGGGAAACTCGAGATATCAAACTCATCCCGTACAGGCAACATGTGGAAGATCTTAGTAAACAGTTCAAGTCTATCGAGTTCAGGTATATTCCTCGATTCCATAATGAGCTAGCTGATGGACTAGCTACTTTGGCCTTAATGCTGCCATACCCGGGTAATGCTCATATTAACCCACTGAAAATCCAAGTTCGAGAAAGGCATGGTTATTGTAACACAATTGAAATGGAGTCAGATGTTCAACCATGGTATCATGATATCAAAAGGTTTTTGAAAACAAAGGAATATCCCGAGCAGGCCAATGGAGATCAAAAGAAAACTATCAGAAGGCTTGCATGCAGTTAGTTTCTTTTTGAGTGGAAAGGTCCTATACAAAAGAACTCCAGATCTGAACATTTTGAGGTGCGTAAAGTCCCGAGAAGCCAAAAAGATCATGAATAAAGTGCATTCGGGAGTATGTGGGCCCCACATAAATGGTTATATCCTTGCAAAGAAAATCCTTCGGGCAGGTTATTACTGGATGACCATGGAAAAAGATTGTTTCAGTTTCGTCAAGAAGTTCCATCAATGCTAGATACACAGTAACCTGATTCATGCACCGCCTTCAGAGTTACATCCTATGTCAACGCCTTCGCCGTTTGTTGCTTGGGGCATAGATATTATTGGTCCAATCGAGCCGAAAGCTTCAAATGGCCACATATTCCTTTTGGTTGGCATTGATTATTTCACAAAATGGGTCGAAGCAGTCACTTTCAAAGCCGTCTCCAAATAAACAGCGGTGGACTTCATGCATTCTACATAATTTATCGTTTTGGTATTCCTAAAACTATCTGTCACGACCCAAATCCCATTATAGGTCGTGATGGCACCCAACACCATTGTTAGGCAAGCCAACACTGATCAACTAGTGAGTTCTCATTTATTTTATTAAATAATACCAACATTTACTTAACTAAAATTTAAAACATTTGATAAATAACGAATTGTTAAAGCAACTGAAACAGAAATAACTAAAAGAAGTCATAATTATAGGAATACAAGCCCAAAAAAAATCAAGTCTACTAATATATGCCAAGGATCTAGTGTCACAAGTGCGTGGGCAACTAGTAGAATATACAAAAGAAGGCTACCCTACTTTCTGAAATAAGTAGACAGACACAAGCAAAAGAGAAACTCTGGTATGCTGCTGAATGGCTAGGGTGGGGCAGTTCACCATAAGTCTCAGTTTAAATCAAGTATCCACCTGCCTCAGATCCTGTACAATAAAGTATAGAAGCATAGTATGAGTACATAAACAATATGTACCCAGTAAGTATCCAGTCTAACCTCAAAGAAGAAGTGACGAGGGGGCGACTTGACACTTACTAGGCCAACAATAATATAATTAAAGTGTTACGCTAAGCATGAGTAGAATGAATAATAATGATAGTTTAAGAATAGGGAGAGGCAAGATATTCTTTCATAAATAACATGTCAATTTCAGTCATATCATATAACAACATACATTTCAAAGCATTTAAGCAGTATAAATCATGGGAAGTTCCAAGTACATAACATGCGCAAATTATGCCGAGGTCGTACGGCCCGGTCCAACATAATATTAAACTGTGCACTGTTAGAGGGTCGAATGGCGCGAACCATAGATATATCTATTTACTACTGAGGCGCTCGACCCGATCCACAAATAACAAGTTATTTTCAAGAAAAGCACACATTGTCCATTTACAGTCAAGTATTTCATACAAATTCTTAAGTAAGTGAGTATAGCCTTCTCTAATTGTTTTACCAATTTCCAGCATGACCTAAGTGATTAAAATAGCAGGTAAGGGTGCAAGCATTTCAAGTATAGCATGATACGGGTCCTACACTACCCGGACAATTAGTATAATAGTAGCTACATACGGACTCTCGTCACCACATACGTACGTAGCCCCCACAGTTAGGTACACACATTTATTTTATTCACCTATGGGGTTAATTCCCTCTTACAAGGTTAGAAAGGAGGCTTACCTTGTCCCAAAGCTTACTTTCAAACTCAAGAATGCGCTCAAATCCTCAAATCGGAGCCGAACGATCCAAAACTATTTAAATTGGGTAAAAAACTAATCAATATATGCTCAAGAGTTCATATCCTAACTATTAAAGTAATTTCCCAACCCTAAATGCAAGATTCCTAAAATTCATTCCCGGGCCCACGTGCTCCGATTCCGGAAATTTTCGAAGGAAGTTGTTACCCATGACCTAAGGAACATAAATATACGATTATCACTAAGTTTCATGGTCAAATTCGTGTTAAAAATCTCATTCTTGCCAAACCCTAGGTTTTTCCTCTAATCCCATAAATTTCACTAATCTTTACATGTTAATCTACCTATAATCTAAGTATTTAACTCACATATAGTAGGAATTACTTACCTCCAAAAAGCTTGGTGGAAAACCCCTCTCAAGAAGCTCTAAAATCGCGCAACAATAGGGTGAAATGAGTCAAAAATGACAAACTCCCGTATTAAATGAATGCCATTGCCTTCAGCGATTTCTGCATCCATGGTGCGTGTCGCGCCACCTTTTTTTCTCGCAAAATCGGGTTTGTGACATTTGGGAGGACATCTCATTCCCTCTTGGGAATTTGGGTTTGTGTTTGAAGAGTCGCCACCTAATGATTAAGGTGCAATAGGACACCAAGAAGGTTTGATTTGAGTAACCAGAGATTGGGTAAGGGCTTGAAATTATTCCAAGGGGAAGGTGTTAGGCACCTCTCAGAATCTACTAGTGTGGTTCCCGGCTAGACTTTTGTTGTGAATTTAGGTGCAAATAACATGTAAGCAAATGAAACTTCAAATAAGAGGGGATTTTCACATAATGGTTGACAAATGAACAAAGTTGGAAAGAACTAAAAGAAAGCTGATTTTCCTTAAAGACATAGTTTGAAATCTTTAGCAGAAAAAAAGAAACAGAGGGAAAGGCTGTCCTACGTTTATTAATAATATGGATCACCCCACACAATACCCGGTAATCACTTTTCAATGAGGGTCTACACGTGACATTATCGCATGGTCATCATATCCATATCTACCCTTTCCCACCCCTATTGAGGTATTAAAGCGCGAAATGGTCTCGATTACTTATTGCATGCTATTACCCGTCACAATCCTATCAGTCCGGAGGCATTTAGGACTACTAATCCTAAGACAGAGGGATATTAGGCTTATTTGTAGTTTCAAAGGTAAAATTTAAAGGCGACATACAAAAACATGTATAGCAAGTTGGGGAAAGCACATAACAAATAAAAGGCTCAGATATACCCCCTTGAACAAAGAAAGCACGTAATTAGCATGACTTTCACATACTGTTTATGGTCTGAGAAAGAACTTAAAGGTTGAGGCAGACTAATTTGTTACATAATTCAGATAAGAAGCTAGGCTTGCCTACTGGTTGTAGTTAATAACACAGATTCAGTTTATAACTTTTATCCTAAGGCTTGCCTAAGTGTCGGACAAGGATCCTATAGACATGGTGTCCATTGAATTCAGGAAAGCCATGAAATAATAAGGTCTCAAAAATAAACTGAGTACATGCTGGTAAAACAAGGAAGTTAGAGAAAGCGCACTATAACGAAAGTTATAGGCTCTGAAATTGATGACACTCGTTATTTCCCTTAATCTCTTTTGTTCTTCAAACACTTGAGAAGGAGATAAAGGTGCAAGAGTAAATTTCCTGCCATTTAGTTCAAGAGAATATCTATTTTTTCTTCCATCATGAAAAACATTCCTGTCATACTGCCAAGGACGACCCAGTAAGATATGACAAGCTTGCATAGGTATTATGTCACAAAGAATATCATCCTCATATCTACCAACATTAAATGAAATCATGCACTGTTTGTTTACCTTTAGTTCACCACTATCATTTAACCATTGGAGTCTATATGGAGTAGGGTGTTTCATGCATGCAAGTCCCAATTTTTCCACAAAGTATGAACTCACCACATTAGCACAACTACCACTATCAATGATCATAGAGCAAGTTTTTCCCTTTATCCCACACCTAGTATGGAATATATTCTCCCTTTGTTCTTCACTATTGCTTGCCAAATTGATAGTCATAATCCTTCTAACTACCCCAATCATGCCCTCATTAGGTAGTTCTACATCATCTTCATCACTCACATCTCCCTCTTCTTCTCCCTCACCTTTTTCACTCTCATATCCTCCATCTTCTCTAAGAATGATGTTTCTTCTACTTGGACATTCATGCATCATATGACCCCTTCCTTTACATTTATGACATTGAATAGAACTAGAAGGTGTAAAAGGTTTAGGGTTAAAGGTTTTACCTCCCTCTTTGTTCTCAAATTTACCTTTACCCTTGTCTTCTTGAGGTCTAGAAGAACTCTTCATCTCATGATATGGCCATGGCTTCTTGGAGATGGTGCTTGTCCGATCTTTCCACGAGCTAGTCTGCTTTCTTTTATTTTGATTTTCTACCTTTACACACAAATCAACTAACTCATCTATTGTTACATATTATTGTAATTCTACTACATCAGCTATTGTAGCCTCTTCTTCCTCTGTACAATTAGCTTAGATCATAGCCATATCCATAGCCTTAAAGTACTTATCCACAGACATGGACCATTGCTTCAATGTTTGAAGACGTTGTTGTAGCTCTCTTTGAAAGTGTGATGGCATGAATCTCTTCCTCATCACCCTCTTCATCTCAGCCCAAGTAGCAACTGGTGCTTGTTCTTCTTGCTATCTGTCCCTAGTAAGCTTTTTCCACCAAATAGCAGCATAGTCAGAAAACTCAACAACAACAAGTTTAACTTTCTTACCCTCAGAGTAGTTGTGACAATCAAAGATAGCTTCAACCTTTCTCTCCCAATCAAAGTACAAGTCTGGGTCCCTTGTTCCCTTGAATGATGGTATCTTCATCTTTATACTACTTATATTGTCATCTTCTACTCTACCTCTTTGTCCCCTCCTATCTTTTCCCACCCTATCAAAATCAATATCATTAAAATCACCTATAGGGTTTCCTTGATTTACAATGGGAGCATGGGTTACATTTCTCCTAGCTTGGGGCCTAACATTATTTTTCCTCCTAAGTTCAGCTGTTGTATCATTTTGATCAGCAATGGTATCCCTCATCTCTTGGAGTTGCAAATTCAAACTTTCAAATTGTTGATGCATAGCTTGCAAGGTAAAATCATTTCTTGCTTTGATTTCAGCTTCTTGGAGAACCCTTCGTTCATCATCACTACCTGTACGCAACATCTTTAAAGAAAGTATAAACTGCATCACAAAAATTATCTTCTTCTTTTTTTTTCTCTCGGAATAACCTTTGAACAAAATACTTTATAGATTTATAGTTAAACCTAACTTGTATGAAGTTCTTAGTAGTAAAATTCAGATATTTCTTTGGGAACCAAAAAAAAAAGAACCAAATCCTAGAACTATTAGGCTTGGCTGAAACAAGACACGAACAAAAAAAAGGATAAATATGTAAATTAAAAGAGTAAGAGAATCTAGGATCCCCTTTTCTTATTTCCTTTGCTAACTTTTAGAAACAAATTAGATACAAAAGATTTTTTTTTGAGAGCAAGCAATTGTACTAATTTTCGTTTTTTTTTATTTTTTTTTCTATTTTTTTTTCTTTTGTTTTCTTTGCTCTTAGTATTCAAGAAATCCCAAGACTTACCAAGAACAAAATCTTGATAGAACCGCTTTGATACCACTTGATAGCAACTAGGTCAGGAATCCAAACTATAGTAAG